GGGGGGGGGGGGGGTCGGTTAAGGTTTACATCCCCCAGAACAGTGGAGCCCTCGCGAAGACCTAAAAGCCATATTAAAGCCCGGCTCAATGAGACTATGTTATCATGTTGAAACCCAATGAAAGCGTAGAACCCTCTGTCACAACTCCTGCCCTAAAACCCATATCAAAGCCCGGTTCAATGAGAGTATGTTCCTAGGACCCTCTGGTACAACTCCTGCATCTCTTTTCAGGAGCAGCATACCTTGAAGAGTATGCCAGCCTCTCTCAGGCGGGTGACACAGGACCTAGAAACGGGAGATGTCCCGATCTCTCTGCTGTGGCCTCAGAACCCAAAACTTTCCCAAAACCGTGAAACCCCAAACCTTAACCTCCCTGAGCCCCCAGTATACAAGCCGGGAAAATACGTAATCTGTGGCCCTCTGTTCCCTGCCGCCCTCACGTCCACTCGGGGCCCGCAGCGCTGCGAGGGCTGACGGGGTCCACAAAGCTCAGTCCATCCCCGGCCGGTGGATCCAAGGGAAGAAACCAAAGCCATGGATTTGGACCCAAACAAGCCTTCCTCGGTTGTGGTTTAGGGCTGCAGGCGTAGAGTTTAGGGACCCAGGGATTGCGGGTCTTCGGGTTTGGGCTGGGGTTCGCGGTGAGTGGCTTAGGGCTTTGGGGTTGAGTTTAAGGTTTGAGTGGTTTTGGGGTTTTAGGGTCTGAGGTTTAGGGCTCCTGAGTTGGAGTTCACAAGCCCTAAAAAATCATTTTTCAATAAGGTACCTGTGAGACCATTGCGCAACAAATGAACAGAATCTCATATTGCCACCTAGCTTCAAGTTGCGGTAGGCTCCGTAGTCGTACTTCGAAAATCTGCCGCTCTGAGGGCTGGCCACAGATGTCTGCTTCTCACAGAACTCGATTGTCGTAAGACCCTTCATCATCAGCATCACCTTACTTCCCCATCGCCCACGGAAATAAAGAACTTGCAGCAGCATAGGATTTTACATGCAAGAAGCCGCCAAGCTTAGACTAACCACTGCTCAGCATTTAAATGTGGAAAAAAAGTCGCATGGAAGCCCGAGAAGAGGGTCAGAAGGAATCCCATGAATGCAGTGGTCACGAAGCAAAGCATCAGGAGGAATCTCTGCGAGATGGGCATGTCCTTTCAGGGTTGCCCCTAAGCCCTGAACTGGGTTCTTCACCCTCGTGCTCCAATCCTAACCCCAATTACGATAAGAAGGTACCTCATGCGATCGATCCAAGTTCTTTATTGGCGACATCCAAGCAGGACAATGTATACAATCGCGGGATAAGCCTTTAAAGCGTCCTGAAGCCCTTGTGAAACACCGTTAGGCTCTAGACAACCTGTGTCCTTATGCACTGACTCAAAGATCGTCTCCAAAATCGTGCCGCCGATGAAGATGCAACTCAAGAGAGAGTAAAAGACGAGCAGTAAGAAGTACCTTGGATTGAGTTGACTAGGGCTTAAGGTTGTGGGTTTAGGCATCAGCTTTCGAGCACTAGACAGTACCTGAACAGGTAGGGTTCTATCCGGGTCGTAAGGGCCCGGGTCTTGTCAGGCCGTATACGGGCTCTGGGATCCTGGGAGAGGAAGACGGAGGGCCCGTGGTTTCCAATTGTATCTACAAGTTCGTTATTGAAAAACTAAGAACCATGACCCCCCCAAACCCGTTGGTTTCCAATTCTAGCTGCAAGTTCCTTATTGAGAAACTAAGAACTATATGATCAACAAACCCGTCTGGAACCCTCAATGAAGACCCATGCGATAGCTTGAGGTACTTGTGGTTTCGGAAGCCGACGCAGTTCATGATCCAGGGACAGTGGTGGTCCATCTTCAAGATGCAACACCTGCAAATTCCTCAGCTGCTCGAGGCTTAGGGTTCATGGCTTGGGTTTCGGGTTCAGGGTTACTTCGGGCTTAGGGACTTGGGTCAGGGCAGCGGTTAGGGTTGTGGCTTGCGGTGGTTTAGGGTTTGGGATTTGTGGGTTGGGTTCAATAGTGGTTGGACCCTAAACCCCTAAACCCTATTAAGCAGAGTTTTTGGCTATTGAAATCCCCCAACAGAAACAAAGCGGCTGGCCGCTTTGGAGCTTCTTTAATTAAATTTCTCTAAGCGCGCAGGAAATCCAAGTCCCGACAGCCAAGCAAAACAGCAGGAACTTCCCACTCCCAAAACCCCAGCACAGCTAAATAAGCCTAAACCCTAAAACCCTAAACCCTAAACCCTTAAACCCTAAACCCTTATGTAAACCCCTAAACCCTTAAGCCCTAAGCCCTAAACCCTAAAACCCCTAAACCCTTAAACCCTAAACCCTAAGTCCTGAAACCCTTAAACCCCTAAGCTCTAAAGCCCTTAAGCCATTAAGCAGTCCTCAACACAAAGGCCGAGGCTCGACAATGGTGACACCTGTCCGGCTTATAGATGAGGCAGTGCTTGCAGCGGCGTCGCTCCCCCGTCCCCTTGACCTCACCTGGGCTTGGGTTTAGGGTTTAGGGTTTAGGGTTTAGGGTTTGGGGTTTAGGGTTTAGGGGTGATTGGGGAACTTCCAAACAGGGAGTCCCAGTAGGTAATATAGAATCGTAGGACCGTAGGACACGCTCCAGAGGAGGGAACAGATCCTGAACCCTAACGGTAGAGATAGGGATTAATATATAACTTACATATCAAAAGAACCGACTACAAAACTCCGAAACGTGATCGTGCCCGCACCATCAAGAAGCCCTTCTAAATTGTGCGAATAGAATTCATGTATGGAGCCCCACCTCAAAACTCCAAGCTTAGGTCAATGCAGCTGTCTAACCTTAAATGCCAGATCCTAAATCCTAAACCCTCCTGTCAAAAGAAAACACTGGTAAACCTGGTAAAGTGGTAAAGCTTTCAAAAAATCAAACCATTGATGCCCAGGACCCTAAATCCTAAACCTTCAACCCGACATCCAAATCCTACGCCCTCTGGTCCTTAAATCCTACAAACCTACACCCTTCGACTAAATAAACAAGAAAAAAACCTCCTCCGGTCAAATCACTGGTCATGTTCGGGTCTTTGAAGGCTCCAAAGCGCCACTCAACGGCCTCGAGAACAGAGCGTTCAGCTTTTTGATCAGGGATACTTTTGAGGCTTCCTTTATAGAGACCCTTCAGAAAGACAAGTTTGTTGCGGGCTATAGTTCTTTTCGAATCAATAAAACGGAACTCCAGGCAACCCCCTTACTGCGTATTGATACCTTCATCTTCGGGTCCTTGGCTTGTGGCCAGTTCTCTAAAGTAGCGTTCCTTTTCGGGTCCTTTTGTTGAGGCTGCCGGCCTTCTCTTGAGTTCCCCCCCCCCAAAAAAAAAAAGGACCTGACCTCAATTTAGACAACGACCTTTATCGGCCCAAAACCCCTAAACCCTAAACCCCTAAACCCTAAACCGCAAACTGAGACGCCGACCCATCAACTTCTCAATCCTAAGACCTAAGACCCAAGTCCAAAGCCCGAACCCATGATCTGGAACTTCAACACTCAGGGGTATTTCGCGAGGGGAAATTGAGGCTCAAGGTTTCGGGGCTCGAGCTCAGGGTAAGCCCTATAAAGCCCCTAAACCCCCTCTAAAAACCCTTAGCCGCTCGAGCGTTGAGTTAGGGTTCAGCCTTTTCTCGAGAGCCCGGATCTTGAGGTTTCGGGTCTTCAAGATCTTTCGCTCCCCAGCCTCTGGGACAGACCCGGGCGGCGTCAACGATGCCTTGGCAAAGCAAACCATCATCAGTCCTGACAGTACCTGCCGCTTTTTGGGATTGGGTTTAGGGTTAAGGGTTAAGGGTTAAGGGTTTAGGGCTTAGGGCTTAGGGTTTAGGGCTTAGGGCTTAGGGCTTAGGGTTTAGGGTTTAGGGCTTAGGGTTTAGGGGTTTCTGGATTGGGACGCTTCGGGCCTTTCACTTTTTTCGCTGCTTTTTGAAGGCAACTCCGACGGGGCTTGCCAGTACTTGCAATCAGGGTCGAGACCTAGGGCCCTAGGGCTTGTTGGGACTTGGGGGTTTGCGGGTTCAGGTTTGGATTCCCTGCTTGAGGGATCATGGGGCATAGCCCTTAAGTCGCCATCCGTCCTAAGAGTACCGAAAATTCTTGAAAAGGTCGTTGTTAAACATGCGCTCAACCCTTCACCCTAAACCCGAAACCCTGGCAAGTACTCGGGATCTCATATTCCTCACTGAGAGACAACTGCGAGGTACAAGGAAGGTCAAGCCGAAACTCCAAGCCCCCGAAATCCCAGGACCCTAAACCCTAAACCTTATAGATCCCGTTAAGGAGCCCTAAAAAAGGGAAACCCTAAACCCCAAACCCTATAAACCCTAAACCCTAAACCCCCATCTCACCTGGGAGATGAGAAAGTGGATCCATCCCCGGGAAGCCACATCGGGGTCGAAGTGCTCGATCGGAAAGCCTAACTGTAGCCTCAACTGGTTCCAACGGCTCTAAGGGGTCTAGGGCTCCAGCGTTTTGGCGGTGACAGTCTTTCAAAAGCCAATATTAACAATAAGACACCATAAATAAACCAGAAAAACATGTAGGTAACGTCTACCAAGTCAACAAAGAAGTAGCTGCGGAAGGAGATGCAGGAAAAGGTAGATCGACCAAACACCAGAGACCATGGTCAGCACTGTCATCGGAGGCAGCAGACTTGCCACGGTCGTCTCGAAAACCGGCTGCATTTCGCGGAGTCTTGCCGGACCCCTTGTCCTGGGCTGTTCCTGCTGGCCTGAAAAAAATTATAGGTGTCGAGTCTTTCCTCAGTGTTTTTGTACTATCCAACGCACTAAACCTAAACACCATTTTCAAGAACAGCCTGGTGTCCAGCAAGAGCTTCAGAGTAGTAGTAGTAGTAAGAATGAAATTGGCAAGCGACGGCCCTCGGTGCTGGTCGAGGACACTAAGCCATCGGCGAGATCAAACTAATATTGAAACAGATTAGTTGAATAGTTGCCCAAAACCCTAAACCCCAAACCCTAAATCCTAAAGTACAGTCCCCTAAACCGTCAACCCTGAGCCCCAAACCTCTTGCGTTGCTTTTGCAGGGCTAAAGGGCCTGAATGATCCCAGATGCCTCCGAAAGCAGCGCGAATTCAAACAAGCTTGATTTTTCTTGTTCATAGGAAGTCGGATGGGATTCGTGTGCAGGTTTTAAATCGATTTTGCAGCGGTCTTTCGTAGGTACTTGCCTTTACTCCAGGACTTGACGTTTAGGGCTTTGGTCGGTTAGAGTGCCAGTACTGTTGCGGGGGGTTGCACAGATAACTTCGTCTTGCTTGGTGCGGTTGGCAATATGCAAGATCTAAAATGTCCCTGAAAGCAGTAGAAACAAACCATAAACATTAAACCCTGCGGCAACATGGACACCCACAAGGCCCTTCTTGTGCTGAAGAGACGAGAGGCAAGAGTCTACAACAATGTCATCTGCAATTGGCTTGGGGGAGATGTAACGGCCGACACGGACAGTAGATCCTAACCCTCGCACCCTCAGCTCTAAACATATTTTTTCCTTGGAGTGCTAGAACCTCTCAAAGAATAGGAGACAACTTTGACGCAACGACATTACATTCTACACCCGCCGTACAGGGGACCACAACCTGGAGTGTCCGGGGCCTATATAGGCATTTAGTGCTTCTAAGAACCTTTGAACGCCGAAGATTGCTAACGAAAAAGACACCACCCCGGAAAGAAAAAAACATGTTCTGGGGGCGATTCTCTAATTAGGGCCCCTAATTGAGTCCATCATCTGGGGGAACACCACTAGGCCAAAGCCCAAGTCCCAATCCTGAAACTTCATACACCCACGAGCTCGGGCCTTAAACGCCTTGAGCCGAGTACTTGTTATCCACCCAAAAGCGGAGGAATACAAGCTCAGAGCACGGTTTAGGGTTTCGGGTTCGTATAACAAAACCACCGAAAATCCAAACGTTCGGTAATGTGGAAGGCTCTGTGCAGAGAAACCCCACATGCTCTTCAATGTAGTTCCTTCATTCTTTGACCGGGCGATATCTGTCAAGACACAACCCTAAGACATCTTCATCCGTACGTCCTCATAAACTCGAAACCCTACACTGCGAAGGCCCTCAAGAGCCCGAAAATGCGCGAAACAGCGGCCCTGTCCAGGTTCGCGTGGTCGTGGAGGTGGGGACGTAAGCTTGGAGCCTCTCATGCTATTCTTAAGGGCAGGGCTTGGAGACTGAGGGTCTGGTGGTCTTTTGGGGGTTCCGGGGGCTTTTAGGGGTTTAGGCTTCCAGGGGTACACTGTTGAAGACCTGATATTGCACCTTTGCCTGGGGTGAGCTTCGGGAATCGGGATTCTATAGGCTTTACCCGCGCATCCATAAACCTACTGAGTTATGGGGTCAGTCAGAACCTACTATTTTGGGGGGTTGGGGCCGCAGTAGTAGGGCTTAGTGTCTGGGTTTTTGGGATGACAACCGTTTGCGCATGCAGCAGACAAGGTTCCGGGCTTGTGGAGCCTCTGGAGCTGCCGGGCCTAAGGTGACGTATTCAAGGGCTTCCGGGCGTAGGGCTTTTAGGGTTTAGGGTTCAGGGGGTTTTAGGGTTGAGTTTAGGGTTTCGAGGTTTCGGGTTTAGGATTGCTTAACATGGGGGTACAACACGCCGGTAAACAGAAAGCCTCAGCATTAAACAAAGTAGTAATATATAGCTGTTCAAATGCCGCGGCCGCGTCAACGCATTCTACTATCTTCCCAGCCAAGCCAAGCCCTGCCAAATAGTAGGCCATGAACCCGCAACTATCGGCAAATGATAGGGTTTAGGGTTCAGAACCAGTGATGATGGGGCACATCTCTTCAACAGCCAAGTGCTTGAAGCTACAAGATTCAATTCTGGTAGCAAACATCTGACCATGTGTGTACTTATACGTGACAAGGCTGAAGGGTTTTCTCAGTTCTGAGTAAAACCCGCAACCTCCAACCCCGAGCCCTCACAGCAGACTCACCCAATCCGGACAATTCTAAACCCAACAAATGAAACAAAGTCTAGGACCGCGTACTCCAGACACCCCACAGATCTGAAACCCTTGAAGAACCTAAGGGGGTCTTAATTGCAGTTTCACCTTAGTATTCATTCCCCAGACCTGAACCCTCTATGTCTAAAGAGGGTTCCTGGATTCAGGTGCCAGCAAATCCGAGTTCCCCGTTCAGAGTTTACCGTTTAAGGGTTTGGGGTTTAGGAAGTACGATGGTGATCCTTGTATGATTATGAGGGCCTGCAAAGAAGGCTAACGTTTTCTGGTCAGGGGGTCCACACTGTACACTACGAATCAACCTTGAACTCACCAGGCTTCGAAACATGGAGCGCTGGAATAATGCCTCTATATTAACCGTTATAACACATAGAAGAGCAAGATATTTTTCCTTCAACAGCCTTCGAAAATGCTCCGTCAAATCCAAGCTTACGTGCGTCAGGACCCTCTACAACCTTGACTGTTGAACATGTTTACTCTTAAGCCCGAATCCTGTTTATAAGGCACTTAACTGAGCAGCTGGAACTGTAGTTTAGGGGTTCAGTCCGAGACGGGTTCGGGTCTAAGCTTCCGACATGGTGGTGGTCGTTGTCATGTAGCACCTGGGAGGCAGCAAGGCACAGGGTTTTGCGTGGCTTGGGGCTTCCGGGCTTGTGGATTAGCATGCTTTGGGATGTTCGGGCCTGCGACTCCGGCTTGGTGTTTGGAGATAGTTCGGGGTTTTAAGGTTTAGGAACTTAGGAGCGGGAAGCCGGATCTAGTCTACACTTCCGGCGTTTACGAGTAACAACTGCAGGATTGGGGTTCATCAGCCTGAGACGCAAAAGCTAGCAAAGTGTGTCATCAGCGATCAGGGTCCCATTCACGTTCCATGCATGCTTCGAAAGTAACATCTCCACACGGCGCTAGTGCTCCAAAGCTGAACCCCGGAACTCAAGACCCTAAACCATTTAAGCGTTTAAAACCTTCGGGCCCCAACCCGTAAAACGTGGAGAAGCCTAACCATTAAAAATGTATCCTTAAACCCTTCCTTTCGGTGACCAAAAGTCGAGGATCCAGAGCTTTGGAGTTGTTTAAAAATGCACGATTTGCCTGTTTGAAAAAGGGGCTTGTGCTTCGGTGCTGAATCGTGTAATACGTATTATAATGGTCTAAAAACTCATATATAGACCATATGATAAACCCTAAACCCTCTTTTGGTCACTTAGGTCGCTGTGCCACAGGAGGGCCATGCTCGCGATCTGGGATTGTAAAGGCTTGAGGGGGCCTTATCAGCACGACAAGGGCAATATTTTTTGGGTGTGGCGTCTTGTGGTGTTACGCTTAGGGTTTAGGGGCTGGGGTTGCTTGAGTGCTAGGGCCGTTGGGGTTTCAGGGCTTTGGCGTACCAAAGAACTAACAAACTTAAAACAAAGGAAAAGTGTTTTATAAAGATAGTAGAAATGAAGATAATAACGGCATATGCAAAAGTGATAAAGTTTACTGATCACACAAAGCAAAAGTTATTGAAGCATACAAAACTTGTTGTTTTTCGTTATACAGTTGATGTAATTGCTAACTTTTGGTATAATGAGGAAAACTGTTTATCATCATGTAACTCGTCAATATGCCAAATACAAAAACAGTCTTAGAGCCATCTTCAAGATATATTGTGCCAACAAACCCATGCACCATTTTAACCAATCCTGTTTCAATTTTGTAGAAATATGTAATTATATAAACTGTGTTATGAATAAAGATATATAGTTTAATATAATCTACGGTTACCATAATGTTAATTACCTTCCTGGGTTTTTTTGTGATGAACCTTGTGATAATGGATTAGGTGGATACTCCGTAGAAAGTTAATATTTTGTTAATTTCAGGTACTTGATGGTGGCAAATTAGATACTCGTTGAAAAATGGTAACATACGGGCGTGAAACACTTCAAAAAACAAAGAACGAATGAGGCGATGAACTGACAGAATAAGGTGATGTGAATGAAAAATGAATGAACTGAATGACATATCATAGCAGATTGGCAATGTATAATGTGCCAGTCCTCAGAAACCTCCTTTTACTTATTTTTGCCCCTGCTTCCCCTTTCCCCTCCCGGCCGCTGCTGACGGGCGTGTGATGCAAATGTTTGGCTTAAATACAACCGTATGGACTACCTGTGCTCCTCTGGCACGCGACCGTTCAAGATCATCTGCATGTCACTACACTTTGGACCTTGCGGCTGACCACATAGCTCCCAGACAAGGCCATTTTCGTACTTGCTGAGGCGATGCCTGCATCTCCGTCAGGAAATGGTGGATGTTCTTGATGTCAGCACCTCAGCTGCCAGCCTAGTGGCCCAAAACAAAATTTAAACGATCCGGAGGTGTCGGCTGCGCAAGATCCGCAAAGTCGGGGGAGAAAAGTGCAGTGTTGAAGGTGTCCATCATGGCTTGACGCCCCGGCACAGCTCACTGGTCAGGTGGAGCCGTCGATGATTGCCGATGTCTAGGCTGACTGTGGTTCAGGCATGCAGCTGCTTTTCTCATGTGTTTATATTGATGCTATGGCTTCAGGAGGTTGCAGTAAGACCGCCGAAGAGAGGCGACCTGGTTGTGAAACCACCCGCAGCAGCTGAAGTGCACCAAGGCCTCGTGGAAAATCCTGGGGCGAGACAGTCGCAGCTTCTCTGCTGTGAGCAGCCTGGACGTTCC